ACTTTACAAAGTTTATCACCCTAGCTAACTTAGCAAACTTATGGGCAACAACGTTGGCCGAACGACTCATCCAAGAAACTTTAAAATCATACCTAGAATGCAAAAGCTGCTTTATCTCCTTGATCCATAGGCCGACAACAGAGTAGTCCACCCCTTTGTGATTGATCTTGTTGACAACCACCCTGCTATCGAGCTTTACATGAAGCTTCTCAACGTTCATCTGAATAGCCAGCTACACCGCGCGTCGGCAGGCCAGAACCTCCGACGACTCCGGATCCGTGATGCTCAGGAAGAAATGGCAGGCCCTGGCAAGGAGCGCTCCATTGTGATCTCTTGCAACGACGCCTCCACCTCCTTTATCTCTAGCTCTACTAGTAGCACCATTGGCGTTGAACTTGACCCAGCCCTCGACTGGGGCCCCCCATCTCGGTACTTGTTTTGCCATCACCGTCTGCTCCTTCGTTTGATGCACATTCTTCCATTCCTGCATAAAACTGCACATAGTTTTTGTAATTTCATGCGGCGAGGCAATCCTCTTTCCATCCCTCGCATCATTTCTAGTCATCCATAAGGTATATACAACATGGATCATAGCTTCCTTCTCTTCCTCACTCGCGACAGCTAACCAGGTAAGCATCCATCGAGCCTGTGCTCCATGATCATCCATCGGCGTGGGAGGAGCAGTAACATCAATGTCCTTCTCCGTTCGAAGAAATTTCCAAAAAAGCTGAGCATGTGGACAAGACCAAAACTTGTGCATAATAGTCTCCTCTCTCCCACACGCCACATAGAAAACCCCAGGTTTGATACCGCGCCGATGGACTTCAGACCCAATAGCAAGACCATCTAACTAACATCCACATATAAATTTTTCGCTTTACCTGGAGCATTAGGCCTTGTACAATGGGAGGTGCTTAGGGAAGTGCTTAGAAAAATAAACCAGACTTTTCTTAAGCACCGGTGCTTATTTGTACAGGATAGACGCTTAACTAAGCGTTTCTCCTGTAGAAATAGGCACCGGTGCTTTAGAAAAATCCGGTTTATTTTTCTAAGCATCTCTCTAAGCACCTTTCATTGTACAAGGCCTTAGTGTCCCAAAGAGCCGGTCAATAGAACTTGAGGGCTCGGGCCGGCTCAACGCACATTTCTTCATCGACATCCTGAGATGATATGCGGATTGAACATTGAAGGTTCCATTCTGGCCTTGTTAACATTCCCAGTCGTGCAGCGATGCATTCCTTTGCTCTTGAGTAATACATTTCCTTTACCCTGTAAAAAAAACTTTAGTATTTGTAAAAGGCAACGTGGCACGGTTAACATACTCACAAAATAAAACGTGGCACGGTTAACTGTCAGTTTATGGCGCCCTTTTACATTCGTTCCGCACGCAATCTCGATGTTCATATATGTAGTACTACGTGTGTACGTGCACGTGGATCGTGATCCATGCAACATGATCAGACGCTGCAGGCGCTAATCATCAGTGAGCCGATCGGCTACCGCCGTTCCCGCGATCAATCGAGTTCGCTAGCGGGGCATCTATACGCACAATCAAGCTAGGCACCATGCATGCATGCATGCATGGCGCAGCAACGCCCGCCCGTGCGTCTCCCCCGCGGCATTCCTGAAACGTACGCGCGCCTCCTCCACTTCGCCTTCCAGGCACGTCGATCCACTATATAAACACGCCGCTAGTGCGTCTGCAGAGCACGCACACGACCTTGCATTACTAGAGCTACCTTCCAGCCACAAATCGCCGGGCATCTCTCGCCGGTCGATCGATGGCGCCCGTCGTCAAGTTCGTCGTCGCCGCCCTGCTAGTGCTTGCGGCCATCGCTGGCCCTGGAGGCGTCGGCGTCGCCTCGGCCACCACCGGCGCTGCTGGCCCCGCGGCGGCGCCATCGCCGGCCCCACTCGTCGCTCGCCTCCGCCTCGCGCTCTCGGGCATGGCGGAGGAGCAGCAGGGCGGCGGGTGGATGATGGAGTGCTGGGGCGCGGTGACGGAGCTGCGGTCGTGCACCAGCGAGATCGTGCTCTTCTTCCTCAACGGCGAGTCCTACCTGGGCCGCGACTGCTGCATCGCCATCCGCACCGTCACGCTCCACTGCTGGCCCTCCATGCTCGCCTCCATAGGCTTGACCGCCCAGGAGGCCGACATCCTCCGCGGCTTCTGCGACGCTGAGATCCCACACGCTCCTCCCCCGCCGGCGCCGGCCGCCGTGCCGGCGCCTGCTGCGCAGCCATGAGCACGCACGTAGTAGTGCACGTGTAATGTGCACACGCAAATGCGATGTAATAACACGACCTTGAGGAAATAAAATACGGGCCGGCGCTCGTGCGTGCGCACGTGCACTCATTTTGCTTGGTTGTGTTAATATGTAGTTTGCAATCATATTTGGACCTGTTAATTCGGTTCCTCGACTGACGGAACATAAACAAGAAGAGAGAGAAGAAGACAAATTCAGCATAGTGTCAAGACAAAAGCCTGAATAATTTAAAAAACTACACCATTCACAACAGAGTATCTTTTTTGTTTGTCAATGTGTATCTAATTTGGATCTCAATTTTTTTTGGGTTTGTAGACACATGAGAACATCCATGATTTTTTCGGAATTTTATGAAACATTTAAATTTGATTATTTTTCGGATTGGTATCATGGGAGCATATAAGTATTGATATCACCTGATATTCTCCCTCTTTACCATAGCTCCATGGCTCACAAAATTAATCTCCTTTTTTTTATTTGTGATAACCTCCAGGCAGTATATACTTCCTCCGTCTGAAAATACTTATCATCAAAATAAATAAAAGAGGATGTATCTAGATGTATATTAGTTCTAGATACATCCATTTTTATCCATTTTGATGACAAAATAAAATGAGATGTATCTAGATGTATATTAGTTCTAGATACATCATTTTTATTCATTTTGATAACAAGTATTTTCGGACGGAGGATCATAAAAGCTTTTGTAGCATTAAGATCAGACGCCGGGGATAGAGCTTCACTAATCACCGTTGCCTCTAAAGCTTCCCGGTTTGTATCATGAGATATATGGCCTCCTATTTCACACTTAGTGCGTTAAATAGAAGGCAAAACGCAAAAGCGGGTGCTGATCGGTCGGCCCACTAGCATTTTTTTCTTGAATTGTTTATCTTTTAATTTTGTTTCATATTTTTCATTTTTCAAATTGGTTCCAGTTTATGAAAAAATGTTCAAAATTTCATAAACTTTTTCATAGTTTAAAAGAAAATTCAAATATATTATATCATGTTTCAATTTTGTTTGAAATTTCACTTCTAAATGTCATTTTTGAATTTTATTTTTTTTCCAGTTTCCAAAATTGTCTACAGTGTCAAAAAAATGCTAGAATTTTCAAAAAATGTTCCCATTTTCGAAAAATCTTCGTAATTTGAAATTTTGATCTAATTTGTCCAAACATTTTTCATAGGCAAATACATTTTAGAAAGCACGAACAAATTTTCCAAATTCGTGCACATTTGTTAAATGTGTGAACAAAATTTTGAAATACTGAACACATTTTATAGTTCTTGAACATTTTTGTGAAATTCCGAACATTTTTTTTGAAAACACAAGCAAAATTTCAAATTTCAAACAGTTTTTGAAAATAGTGAACACTTCTTGAAAAACGTGATTTTTTAAAAAGTGGAGACATTATTTTTAAAAGCATAGCATATTTTCAAAAATGAATTTTTTTTCAAAATATGAACATTTTTAAATTTTTTGAGCATTTAAAATTGAAAAAAAATTACTTTTGGAAAATCTATGAGTGTAATTTTAAACATAAAAATGAAATCAAGGACAGACCCTGTGTATCTTGGTATATGGGCCGGCCCAGTGGATGTCCCTGTGCGTTTCGTTCCTATTTGACAGAAAGCACGTTAAATAAGGAATTCCACAAAATCACTAATTAAGTAGTATTCGTTGCAAAGAACACTCCACTTTCCCAGGTCGCGACAAGTGGCGCACATGCAGTGCGCCACTTGTCGCAATCTGGGAGTTTTCCCTTTTTTCATAGATCCGTTTATTCAAAATGTTTTATCTTTTAAACCGCGCGTCCAAATCTCGAACCGTTTTCATCATTGGATTCCTCGCGTCGAGATCTTCAAAACTAGATCCCATGTTGATAGGTTTTGATGAACTTTTTTTCACGAAAAAAATTGGACGAAAGAAACCGGGCGAAAAAACCGAAGCGGGAGTACGGTTTTTTCCTTTTCCGAAAGAGGCACACCCTTGCCTCTCGTGAAATCACATCCGTGCCTCTCGTGAAAGCAAAACCGTGACTCTCTTGGAAGGAAAAAACAAAAAACGCATTTTTTTCCGTTTTCGAGAGGCACGGCCGTGACTCTCGCGAAAGCACAACCATGCCTCTCGCGGAAGCAAAACCATGACTCTCGCGAAAGAAAAAAAAACAGAAAACGCTTATTTTTTCTCTTTCTAAGAGGCACAGCTGTGACTCTCGCGGAAGCACAACCGTGCCTCTCGCGGAAGCAAAACCGTGACTCTCGCGAAAGAAAAAAAATAGGAAACATGTTTTTTTTTACCGTTTCCGAAAGGAACGATCGTGGTTCTCGCTAAAGCACAACTGTGCCTCACGCGAAAAAAAACCGTGACTTTCACGAAAGGAAAAAAAGAAAACGCATTTTTTTGTGCAATTTTTTTTTGAAAATTGTTTTTGATCGAAAAGCTAAGGAAGACCGGGGAAAACCAAAACATAAAAAAACCGAGAGAAAACCGTCTAAAAAGCCGAAAATGCATGCGGAAAAATAAAATAAAAAACAAAATTCGGAGAGAGCATCCAGAGCGCGACACGTGACGAATGGCTGAGAGCGCGCCAAGTGACGCTGATCGTTGCGAGGCTCCTGAAGGAGTGCTCGTTAACTAGTTGCTCCCGGAATTCCATGGGATATCTGTCCAGGTTAGAGAATTCTTGAATTTAGTAGCTACGTACATGGGCTTACACTTGAGTTAGTTGTCATGTAGCCAACCCATGAAATAGTTGTAGTTGTCGTTAGTTTAACTCTTGCATAGATCAGAAACACCTAACATCAAATCTTGTCCTATGACAAGAAATTCTAACCTCATCGTCCCAAAATGAGGACAGAAATCTACACCGGAGCTTCATCGACTATGTTTAGACGGATGAACTCGAGAAGAATCGAAACTCAGAAGGCAAATACGAAGAAGAAGCATCGGCATCCGCTCAAGCGCCATGCCTACCGTCGGCCGCCGGAGCGGTAGGCAGAGGGGAGACGAATTCACAGGCTCGTTGGTGAAAGCCTGAAGGGGATGATTAAAGTGTTAGTCTGAAAAATGCCCATTTTTTCTCGAGAAAAGGATGCATGGACTTTTTACACTTCGAAACACGGTTCTACCCCCTTCTTTTTCTCAACGTGGACATTTTCCTCCACCGAAAGACTAGTAGTATTGTTTTCCTCGTGATGGTACATGTGTGATGGTACATGTCTAGTCACGAGTATTGAATGAAATATGCCCCAAAGGCAATAATAAAGTTATTATTTATTTCCTTATATCATGATAAATGTTTATTATTCATACTAGAATTGTATTAACCAGAAACATAATACATGTGTGAATACATAGACAAACAGTATGTCACTAGTATGCCTCTACTTGACTAGCTCGTTGAATCAAAGATGGTTAAGTTTCCTAGCCATAGACATGAGTTGTCATTTGATTAACGGGATCACATCATTAGATAATGATGTGATTGACTTGACCCATTCCGTTAGCTTAGCACTGGATCGTTTAGTTTGTTGCTATTGCTTTCTTCATGACTTATACATGTTCCTATGACTATGAGATTATGCAACTCCTGTTTACCGGAGGAACACTTTGTGTGCCACCAAACGTCACAATGTAACTGGGTGATTATAAAGGTGCTCTACAGATGTCTCCGAAGGTACTTGTTGGGTTGGCGTATTTCAAGATTAGGATTTGTCACTCCGGTTATCGGAGAGGTATCTCTGGGCCCACTCGGTAATGCACATCACTATAAGCCTGGCAAGCATTGCAACTGATGAGTTAGTTGCGGGATGATGTGTTACGGAACGGGTAAAGAGACTTGCCGGTAACGAGATTGAACTAGGTATTGAGATACCGACGATCAAATCTCGGGCAAGTAACATACCGATGACAAAGGGAACAACGTATGTTGTTATGCGGTTTGACCGATAAAGATCTTCGTAGAATATGTAGGACCCAGTATGAGCATCCAGGTTCCGCTATTGGTTATTGACCGGAGACGTGTCTCGGTCATGTCTACATAGTTCTCGAACCCGTAGGGTCCGCACGCTTAACGCTACGATGACAGTTATACTATGAGTTTATATGTTTTGATGTACCGAATGAGTTCGGAGTCCCGGATGAGATCGGGGACATGATGAGGAGTCTCGAAATGGTCGAGACGTAAAGATCGATATATTGGATGACTATATTCGGACATCGGAAAGGTTCCGAGTGATTCGAGTATTTTCGGGAGTACCAGGGAGTTACGGGAATTCGTATTGGGCCTTAATGGGCCATACAGGAAAGGAGAGAAAGGCCTCAAAGGGTGGCCACACCCCTCCCCATGGGCTGGTCCGAATTGGACTAGGGAGGGGGGCACCCCCTTCCTTCCTTCTCCTTTTCCCTTCCCTTTCCTTCCCTCCTACTCCTACTACTTGGAAGGGCTCCTAGTTCTACTAGGAAAGGGGGAATCCTACTCCCGGTTGGAGTAGGGCTCCCCTAGGGCGCGCCATAGAAAGGGCCGGCCCTCCCCCTCCTTCACTCCTTTATATACGGGGGCAGGGGCATCCCAAAGACACAACAATTGATCTCTTGATCTCTTAGCCGTGTGCGGTGCCCCCTCCACCATAATCCACCTCGATCATATCGTAGCGGTGCTTATGTGAAGCCCTGCGCTGGTAGAACATCATCAACGTCACCACGCCGTCGTGCTGACGAAACTCTCCCTCAACACTCGGCTGGATCGGAGTTCGAGGGACGTCATCGAGTTGAACGTGTGTAGAACTCAGAGGTGCCGTACATTCGGTACTTGGATCGGTCGGATCGTGAAGACGTACGACTACATCAACCGCGTTGTCATAACACTTCCTCTTACGGTCTACGAGGGTACGTGGACAACACTCTTCCCCTCTCGTTGCTATGCATCACCTAGAGGGATCTTGCGTGTGCGTAGGAATTGTTTTGAAATTACTGCG